TGCTGCTGCTGCTGCTGCTAGTGCTGCTAGTCCTGCTGCTGCAACTGGTGCTGCAAGCCGCCAAAACGTACCCTTCGCCACACCGAAACACCATGGCCCTGAAGGACGAACTAGTCCGAGAAGCGCACCCAAAAAGTGTCTAACGTTGCGTCTGAAACACTAGAAACAGAACAGAAAATCGGTGTTCAGACGGCCAAACGGTGCTGCTGCTGCTATTGCTGCTGCTGCTACTGCTGCTGCTGCTGCTCCTGCTAGTCCTGCTGCGGGGAAATACCAAGGCCCTAAAGGACGAACTAGTATAAAAGTCATCCGAAACAGCAAAACACCACCTAATTTCGTGCCGAAAATAACGCCAAATCGCAGCAACAAACTGCCTAACGTCCCTTCTGAAATCCTAAAGAATCCATATAATCCCAGAACAGATCAGGGCGGGAAGGGCAACCCAAGGAGCCCCACGCACCTCGAGGAGACTCCGGGAAGGACCCCCCACCGGTGAAACAAAAACCCCGGAGTCAAGGAATCGACGTACGTGACCGGTGGGAGGGGGACCCAGCAGGGTCCCCCGGCAAAGGGTCATTGTTTGTTGTTGTTGTTGTTGTTGTTGTTGTTTCTTGTTGTTTGTTGTTGTTTGGTGTTGATTGTTACTGTTGTTGGTTTTTGTTTGGGTTTATATGTTTGTCTTTGTGGTTGTTGTTGTTCTTGTTCTTGTTGTTGTTCGTGTTGTTCTTGTTATTGTTCTTCTTCTTGTTGTTGTTGTTGTTGTCGTTGTTGTTGTTGTTGTTCTTGTTGTTGTTGTTGTTGTTGTTGTTGTTGTTGTTGTCGTTGTCGTCGTTGTTGTTGTTGTTGTTGTTGTTGTTGTTGTTGTTGTTGTTGTTGTTGTTGTTACGTGACATACCCTTCGCCACACCGAAACACCATGCATGGCGCTGAAGGACGAACTAGTCCGAGAAGCGCACCCAAAAAATGTCTAACGTTGCTTCTGAAACCCTAGAAACAGAACAGAAAATCGGTGCTCAGACACGGCCAAACGGACCCTTTGCCACACCGAAACACCATGGCCCTGAAGGACGAACTAGTCCGAGAAGCGGACCCAAAAAATGTCTAACGTTGCTTCTGAAACCCTAGAAAGAAAATAGAAAATCGGCGCTCAGACACGGCCAAACGGTGCTGCTGCTGGTGCTGCTAGTCCTGCTGCTGCAACTGGTGCTGCAGGCCTCCAAAACGTACCCTTCGCCACACCGAAACACCATGGCCCTGAAGGACGAACTAGTCCGAGAAGCCCACCAAAAAAGTGTCTAACGTTGCTTCTGAAACCCTAGAAACAAAACAGAAAATCGGCGCTCAGACGGCCAAACGGTGCTGCTGCTGCGTGTTGTTCTTGTTATTGTTCTTCTTCTTGTTGTTGTTGTTGTCGTTGTTGTTGTTGTTGTTCTTGTTGTTGTTGTTGTTGTTGTGTTGTTGTTGTTGTTGTTGTTGTTGTTGTTGTTGTTGTTGTTGTTGTTGTTGTTGTTGTTGTTGTTGTTGTCATTGTCGTTGTCGTTCTTGTTGTTGTTGTTGTTGTTGTTGTTGTTATGTGACCGGTGGGAAGGGGAGCCCTTTTCTTCCATCTTCTTCCCTTACGCGCTCCCCCTTGCATCTGCATACTTCATAAACAATTGGGGAGATTATCTCTTCTCCATATGGTGTTTGTTTTGTGCCAATCTTTTCTCAGTTTGGTTCTGGCAGCTCAGGAGTTCTTTACTTCCCACGAGGCCATGCAGTTGGACCTTGAAGAGGCTCTAACTCGTTCCTCTGGCGGAAAATTTTACAATCTCAGTGCGCACATGGTGTGGATTGGCGATCGCACGCGCCAGTTGGATTGCGCCCACATCGAGTACTTCAAGGGAATTGCAAATCCCATTGCTGTAAAAGTTGGCCCATCTATGAAGAACGATGAGTTCCTGGCTTTATTTTCAAAGCATTTTAGGCCCACTTGAAGCATCAAGGTTCATCATAAGGACCTGTCTCCGAAAATTGCCAGGGAAGACGTTTAATATTTTAACAGAATTCACCATTGTTGAGAAGGGACACCGCAAATAGTGAATGCAGGCTTTCCAGTCCGCTGCCCTATTTGCAGACATGTTAGACATTTTCTTGACGACCTCTTTAAGGGCATGTGCCACCGTAGAACATTACGTAGTTAAACCACGTCAAGCCATGTCAAACCGCGTCAAGGCATGTCAAACTTCGAAGATCTAAGTGATCTAAGGCTCAAGGAGCTGGTGAAGATTCTGAACCCCAACAAGGAGGAGGGTCGCCTCATGCTGATTACGCGATATGGTGCGGGGAAGGCAGAGGCCATGCTGCCGGGTCACATCCAGGCCGTCAAAGAGTCTCGGGTTCCTGTGACTTGGCAATGTGACGCAGTTCACGGGAATGGCATCGTGGCCAAGAGCAACAAGCTGAAGACCCGTGTAATGAATGACATCTTGGCAGAGGCCTGTGAGGTGATGGCTATCCACAAGAAGTGTGGCTCCATCCTGGGTGGAATCCATTTGGAAGTGTCAGGTCAACCTGTGACCGAGGTTGTAGGTGGCTCAATGGGACTGACGGAGCAGATGCTCACCAAGAACTATGAAACTTATTGCGACCCACGCATGAACTACTCACAGGCCATTGAGGCAGCTTTCCGAGTAGCCAATGAAATGCCTTCGCAAGAGCGGGCTGCCAAGAGGGCTAAAGTGGCCTAGGTTCATGGTGGTACCCATGTGCCACCTGTCGTGTCCACAATGTGTAGCTCAAACAGATTCTTGATCAAGGCCAAAGGCTCACAATATTTCTGAAGTAAAGCTACACAGAGCATTTCGATGTATTTTTGAGGAATCTTGCGGTGGCTCCAGTGCTGATCGAAGAGTTTCTCTGAGTTTCTCTCAAAAAGTTTCTCTCTCTCTCTATGGCTCCCACCAAGTTTTACTGCCTTGTTCGTCACTCACCGGTATCAAAGATAGCATTTGCAAGTGGTTGCTTGAAGAGGACCTGACTCAGCAGTGAAGTTGCCATTGAACGTGCCAAGACATATCGTTTCTCCAAAGTGTAGTTCGTGCCGGCTATTACCCGCTTCAGAGAAAGCAGGAGCACTGCGGATCTTTCAGTGCAGTGGTTGTATGTGACACGAATCTGTCGTGAGCCCGCACTCTGTCAGCATATAATGCAGCATATATGGATGCCAATAGTTGCATGAATCAACGAGGACCGATGATAGGATGAAAGCGTGACATGGCGTGAATCTACTTGGCTAAGCTTCGACTCTTATCTTGGTAACACTTTGTATCCCTTCATTCTCTTGGCATCTTGCGTTTGTCCGACCATTTGGGATGAAATCCCAGGGTGGGAAGGCTGAAGCAACATGACTTCCATGTGAACTGTTGCACAGCACTTCATGACAATATATCGCGTTTTCCAGCCTGTGGTGTTTCCAGGTGTGACATGCTGAGCAAAGAGGGGGAAGCAAGGAGGCTTCGCTTGAATGCGATGCCCTACTCTGACGTTTGGGTCTTGGGTCATGCATCGCGCAGCTGCTCTTGGTCACAATAGTATATATATATATATTATAATATAGTAACGGACCGAAACTTAGAATATCGTTCTGGAAACGCAACAAAAGTACCCGTTTAGCCCGAAGTACCCGTAGCGCAAGATTCGGCAATATTTTTTTTTGCTAATCTTCACAATTTGCCGCGTATATGCATCGAAATGGCTTTTTCGGTACTTTTACGAGTACTTTTTGGATTTTTTGGTGAATGCAGGCACAAGGGAACTTAGAATATCGCCGCAACATGGTTTGGAAGATGTTGCTGTTGTTTTGGTGATTTATGATGATTTATGCTAATCTTCCCAATTGCCTTGTAATTCCGTCCCCCTGTTACCAAACGGTCCCCCGTCCTCCCCCCAAATAATAAACACCTGGAGGAGCTTTTAGTATTAGGGGGTACTCAGTATTAGGGTGCGAAACTTCCCCGAATATAATATTAAATTAATTAACAACTTTAATTAAAAAAAACTAACGTTTTCTATATCAAAATCGATTAGATTTCCTTTCAAATCTAGTTAAAACATTGCTACAAATTGGATTTCGAAGCTCTCCCCTAATATTAAATTAAGAACCCTAGAACAAAGAACAAAAATTGTCTATTTCAAAATCGATTGGATTTCCGTTTAAAATCTAAGTAAAATATGGCCAAAAATTGGATTTCGAAGCTCTTTCCCCTAAGATTAAATTAAAAACCCTAATATAAAAGACTAATTTGTTCTATTTCAAAATTGATTTGATTTCCTTTTAAAATCTGATTAAAAGATTGCCCAAAATTGGATTTCGAAGCTTTCCCCTAATATTAGATTTAAAATAAGGATTGTTCATGAGAACTGGTAGTTTGTTCGTTTTGAAGTGGTAGTTTGTTTTTTTGGCACAGTGACTATTTGCTAGCATAATATGAGACAAAGTTCCCCCAAAGAGTGCAAGTTCTTCAAAGACACGCTGCAAAGCATGTTCATAAAATGTTGCAGAGCAGTCATAGTGCAAAGCAGTGCTGCCACAACTACCTTCAGAACATTGTTGAACAACATCATAGGTTGCAACCACTTGTTAAAGCATCCAAATATGGCTACTTTTCAAGAACAAAAAATATCTGGCTCCATCTCTTGTGTCAGGACTTGCTGAGTTAAGGCTAGGTTTATACCATACCCCCCAAAAGAACAAAATGTCATTGATATGATACTTATTTATTATTCATATAATTCATATATATATAAAATCCACACACATCCTGTCAGGAATTGTTCAGTCAGGAATTTGCTGGAATCAGGCATAAAATCATGGACTTTATGAAGAAGACCTTCACCTACATCAATCCAGTGCTGCAAAGCACTTGAAAGGCACAGCTGCAAAGCTAGAATGTGCAAAAATGCTTCAATGCATTTAGTGCTGCAAAGCACAAATTGGTGCTGCAAAGCACTTTGAACGCACAGGTGGCTGCAAAGCTACAGAACTGTGCAAAAATGCTGTCAAAGCATGGGTGCTGCAAAGCACCTAAGGCAGGGCAGGTGCACCTGCTGCAAAGCAGAGTGTTGGGTGCTGCAAAGCACCCCTTGGTTGCACAGGGCAACAGGCCAGGAGTTTCACCTGGCTCCCCATGGCCAGTTTTTTTTCCTTGTAAAGACTGACCCCAATGTCAGTCCCTCCCAAGTACCCTGACAGTGATAGCTCAAGAACACTGGTGAAGTTTCATCCAGTATGAGTGCGCTTCTCATTGGCAGCCAGTGTCCATCGGCCCATTTGGGTGGGGGCGGCCTTCAATGGACCCTCCCGGCACTGTCTCCATGGGTTGCTAAATCTTGACTCTCCAGGATACGATGGAATGAAACCAGTTAGTAGTGAGTCTGTACTGGAAGGAGAAAAGGAGGACTAGAAAACAGGGCTTTTTGGGACTCCCCTTTGTGTTCTCACTGGCACATGTGACACACATACACACAACCACTCAAAAACACACACAAATGCATACAGAGACACATGTTAGCATGCTGCATTGCACAAATAGTATTTTGTTATTATTATATTTGCCATGACTGTTTTTATTTCCATTGATTTTTTTTGTTTTTTGTGTTTTATTTATGTTTACTACTATTATTGTTATTGTTGTTATACATTGATTTGTTCAAATCATGTTCACCACATGACCACATGTTGCAAAAAAAGAACGATGCCGCAAAGCATGTTCACCAAATGTTGCAAAAAAATGAACAAAGCTGCAAAAGCATGTTCACCAAATGTTGCAAAACATGGAACAATGCTGCAACTCATGATTACCAAATGTTGCAAAACATTGAGAACAATGCTGCAAAACATGTTTGCCAAATGTTGCAAAACATTTAGAACAAGAACAATGCTGCAAAGCATGTTTGCCAAATGTTGCAAAACATGGAGAACAATGCCAAATGTTGCAAAACATTTAGAACAATGCTGCGAAGCATGTTTTGCCAAATGTTGCAAAACATTGAGAACAATGCTGAAAAAACATGTTTGCCAAATGTTGCAAAACATTTAAATTTAGAACAATGCTGCAAAGCATGTTCACAGAATGTTGCAAAACATTCAGACTTTCAATGAGCAATGCTGCAAAGCATTGCCATCCCCAGGATATTCGCTTTTGTGCTTGATTTTAGAGTATTGTATATCTACTGTGGATGGAGGAAATCCTGCACCAGTAACCGCACATAGCTGTAGCAGAGAGACACTGTCACCCCCTCGCCCCCCTAATCAATGTTGCTTTCGGGGAGCCTTCAGGTGGTGCAGGATTATGTCCATTCAACTTCTTTTTCTTCAGCAGCGTTGTAACCCTTCAATGTTAAACGGGGGGCGCGAGGGTTGCTCGCATCCGGGGCTGCGAGTGGTGCACGATTCTTTCCACCCACCGTCTGGCGAAACTGTTTTTTCTGCTTCTGATGGGTGTTTTTTTTTGAAGCACCCGGGGAAGATTTGTTGGTTTATGGATGTGCAAACACAAGCTTGAACCAATTCCCTTTTGCATTTGCCAAAACCTCAATCCAAACGCACTTTCATCTTCAAAGCTGCTACCCACCAGACAAAGACGCAACAGATTTGCTTTATTTGGTTCATGGATGTGCAAACGCAAGCTTGAACAAATTCCCTTTTGCACGTGCCAAAACCCCAATCCAAACACACTTTCATCTTCACAGCTGCTGCCCACAAACAAAGAAGCAACATTGCAGCATCTGCTCCCCATGTGGGCAAAAATTGGAGATCAGACGCTGTGTGTCTTGCATGGTGCACTATTCTTGAATGTGCCTCCACGCCTCCAGAAGCAAAATTGCACTTTTCTGCTGATGAAAATATAAGGGTGCAGAAACATCGTGTTTTGCACAGTGCACGTACAGTGCACGCACAGTGCACGCTACAGTGCACGCCACAGTGCACGGCCACACAACGCTGTAAATACCACGTATTTGCCCCAAAATGATGCGAAAACAAAAAAACAATATTTTTTCATTTTTTTTGTGAATTGTCAAAAAAATGCTCATCCCATGGTATTTACAGTGTGTTGTGGCCGTGCACTGTGGCGTGCACTGTGCGTGCACTGTACGTGCACTGCAAAACACGCAGTTTGTGCAATTCTGCTTCTGGAGGCGTGCAGGCGCAGTCTTTGTTTGTGGGTAGCAGCTGCGAAGATGAAAGGGTTTTGGTATGTGCAAACGGGAATTTGTTCAAGCATGCGTTTACACAGCCATAAAGCAAATAAAATAAAACAAATCTGTTGCGTCTTGGTTTGGTGGGTAGCAGCTTTGACGATGAAACTTTGTTGGGCTTTTGGCATGTGCAAAAGGGAATTTGTTCAAGCTTGCGTTTGCACAGCCATAAAGCAAATAACACAAATCTGTTGCGTCTTTGTTTGGTGGGTAGCAGTTTGGTGGATGCCAGCATACATTGGGCAACAACATTATGCAACACACTGTTCACAGTACTGTGGATGGATGAAATCCTGCACCAGTAACCGCACATAGCTGTAGCAGAGAGACACTGTCACCCCCTCGCCCCCCTAATCAATGTTGCTTTCGGGGAGCCTTCAGGTGGTGCAGGATTATGTCCATTCAACTTCTTTTTCTTCAGCAGCGTTGTAACCCTTCAATGTTAAACGGGGGGCGCGAGGGTTGCTCGCATCCGGGGCTGCGAGTGGTGCACGATTCTTTCCACCCACCGTCTGGCGAAACTGTTGTTTCTGCTTCTGATGGGTGTTTTTTTTTGAAGCACCCGGGGAAGATTTGTTGGTTTATGGATGTGCAAACACAAGCTTGAACCAATTCCCTTTTGCATTTGCCAAAACCTCAATCCAAACGCACTTTCATCTTCAAAGCTGCTACCCACCAGACAAAGACGCAACAGATTTGTTTTATTTGGTTTATGGATGTGCAAACGCAAGCTTGAACAAATTCCCTTTTGCACGTGCCAAAACCCCAATCCAAACACACTTTCATCTTCACAGCTGCTGCCCACAAACAAAGAAGCAACATTGCAGCATCTGCTCCCCATGTGGGCAAAAATTGGAGATCAGACGCTGTGTGTCTTGCATGGTGCACTATTCTTGAATGTGCCTCCACGCCTCCAGAAGCAAAATTGCACTTTTCTGCTGATGAAAATATAAGGGTGCAGAAACATCGTGTTTTGCACAGTGCACGTACAGTGCACGCACAGTGCACGCT